TGTCAATATAGAAGATCATTGTAGGTGCTGGCAACAGGAAATATTTTTCAAGGAAGTGAAAGAGCCTATTGTCTCTTTTCTGCTTTCATTTATCTACATCTTTCACATTGCTTTGCTTGTTTTTATTTCCCTTCTCTGTCAACCACTGGTTTTGCTCTGTACTCATGCATGCAGTAGTTTGTCAAAGACTGTTTTAGTCTATATAAATCACTGAGGAATCTTATGGAAAAAGTTAGGGATTTATGCCACCAATAAAAGAAAAAAAGCACCTTTAAAGAAGGTTTGTTAATAAATGAGCACCCTGTCAACTTTAGTAGATAATCTTAGGCATAAATTATGTATTTTAATGCTAGGGGTTTTATACTACTGAAAGTTTAAATAATTATCTGTAACTTAAAACTTTATTAATTGTAAACGTTTTCTTTTACATAGATTACAGAACAAAAAGTGTATGAATGTAGGAGTTTGTGCAGATCTACCTTAAACAGGTTAAAAAGACTGAAGGTCTGCTTGCAAACATACCTCTATGTCAAAGCAGTCAAATAACATTTCTACTACGTGCATCATATAATCAGTGTGTCTTAGTAAACTGGTATCATGAATGCCAATTTTTGGCTATGTCTTTACAAGAGGCAAGTATTTGTCAATTTGTTTGTCAGAATTTTCATTTTATATTTAGAATGATTTTAAAGATTGAAAGCCACTTTTATTTTTCTTATTGTGAAGCTTAAGAATTATTGGTTGGGAAGAGTTCTTAAGAATTTGCATCCTAGAGTATTGTATGTGACTTTATTATTTTGTGAATATCTCATAGTAAGTTAAACTACTAAACCATGTTTTTAAAACCTGGTGAGGTTTTGGGGATTGACAGTACTGTAGCCTGTAGGGCAGTTAAGCCAGCTAGGCTGACCTGATGAAGGTTTTGTTTTTTTTTCCCCCACATCAACAGTAGAGGATAATAAAATTGAGGAATTCTCACACATGCTATTCCTTCCCATTGTCATCAGCCTTAATCCCTCAATTCAGTTTTCTTTAATGATCTGCAACAACTTTCCCTTGATTCACGTGCGGGTCCTGAAAATGTTCTGAAGCTGTAACTATGTGGCCCTGAGAAGAAATGGGAAACAAACCCACCAGCTTTTGCTGAAGAGTCCCTTTGCATTTTGAAATATGACCTAAGGTCTGTCAACATGCGATTGTTATACTTCAGCATCAAACATTAAGGCAACGTTTTTGTTAATCCTTTGTCCTCTTTTCTGTTGTATTATCTCCTAGTATTTTGTACAGGAAAAAGTAAAAACAAGGCATCTTTAACTTGTAAGTAGGTATGAAGTTTTGGAATGTCCCAAAAGTCTAGGTTACAGCCTTATGTTTGTTATCCATTATATGTCTTCTCAAAACTGTTTTCTGGAATGTTTGGAGACCTTTCACAGTAACAATATTTAACAAAGTAATATTTATTACTCAAATTTGATATGTTTTTAACTCTAGAGAAACTATTGCTTAATCATAAAACTGACCCTAGGCACTTGATACATTGCCAGTTTTTCCATAGAAGATTTGACACTGCTAGTGTTTTCCAGACAGCACAGTACTAATTTTAAATTAAAAACCATTTTTATATACATGGAATACATTATATTACTGTCCTTTGTAGTATAACTGAAAAATTGTATCTCATAAAATCATAGAATAGTTAGGGTTGGAAAGGATCTTAAGATCATTTCATGTTGCATGATAAATATTTTATCTATCTTATGTGTAAATGATATGTATTTTGTTCAGGTAGGATCAAAACTTTTCGTCAGGAGATATTTGGATTGAAAGAACCATTGAATGCTCATACTGGTCTGTTAGAGAAACTCAAGATGCCATGAATGTTTACATTACACATTCATATATGGCATGACCCTTAATATTAAAACCAGTCTAGCTGTGTTGGTACAACACTTTACCTCATGACCTTAGTTGTAATGAAAAGCAAGTTTGCATTGAATAGAGAATTGCTGTTTTAATACTCGGAGTGTTTTAGCAAGTTCTACATGCATTGCTCTGTGGGATATTGATGCTTTCTAAATTTTTTTTAATAGCTTGGTTTATTCTCTGAGGCCAGAGAATTCCTGTTCTCCAGAGAACTCTTATTGTTCAGTTTTAACTTTAAAATGCTCCTAGTTTCATTTATAGCGTTTGCATCACTAATTTTTACACATTTTACGTACATTTTGATAGATTATATGTCTATAGTTTTTGCACAATGGGAAGTATTTTCTGGGCCCTCCTACAGTCATTCTCCAGATTGTCACAGGAGAACAGTGTGGCATACATGAGTTTTAAACTTCATTTGATGGATTATGGTAATGCATTACATGTTTATTATAAATATAAGGAGTTGATTTGACTCATCTATGTGAGATAAAAGATATTTTATATGGTCATGAATACTTGGTAGCAAATATGGCCTTTCTAAGTGCTTTTGTTTCATTGTTTGGCATGCTTGTAGCTTGAATGAAACATTGTTTTCTTGTGTTTTAGTCAAAGTTTGATGTTTATGAGGATGAATTTTGGGGGATGTTAGCTCTTTCTTGGAATATGGAAAAGGGATTTTTAAGGCTTTGTTTATACATTACATGGCACTTATTTCTAAACTCATGCATGACATCCCAAACAAGTTTTGTGGGAAGAATATTAAATTATTAGTCCCCAAACCATTTAACTTTGTTTCTTTGTTTTCAGGACTTACTAAGCACAGAGGATATGCTGGACAGCACAGAGGGTCTTTTTGTAATGGTATATTTACAAGCTTTTATAATAAAGATGAAAATGAGCTTTATGTTGAATAAATCTCATTCTTTGTCTACAAAAAGGATTGTTCTGCTAAATAACTTAGACAACTGTGAAATTCATGCAGATACTTTTAACACTGGGACAGATTTTTATATGAACTGGTGCTCATGTGTTTGGTTTCTCATTAGAGTTTTATGGGCATTGCAATTTTTCCAAGTAAGTATCCTTTGGTCTTATTTCTGGATGAAAGTACAGTATATGTCATTTTGCATTTAATACAGTGTTGCCTAGCAGTCTGATTTTTTTACTTCTCCTGTGATCTGTTTTATGTAACTTATGGCAAGTTTACATATTTTCATGACTGTTAATACTAAATTCTATACTTGCAAAGGGTTTAAAAGTCCTTTACAAGGACACATCCAATACCATGTAGTCATTTTGACAAGTTGCCGTAAAATGGAAAAGGAGAAAAATGAAATAACTTGTTTGGCAAAATATCCATCTTTTAGTACTTAATTCTCCTGATAGCAACAGGACTGGAAGTGTATTTATGTTTATCTTAACTTAAAACGGTTTGCAAAAAATGAAAAACTGAAATTGAAGACTTCAAGCACAAATCCTGGCTTTTAAAAATGAAACCATAGGGTAACCAAATTCAGGTGTTGATTTTAGCAAGGAGTTAGTTATAAATCTGACTACCCTGCATTGTCCCTTCCCTATTATCATCAGTTACTGTGGTGTTTTATGGTATTTTAAGTGACATGGGTGAGACTGGACAAACTGTACATTGTGTTAATGTCACATTCCATAACCTGCAACAGCTCATTGTTAATACTTTGCTTTCCTATAATAAAGCTTAGCTTATGTAGAACGTCTTCAGGACTGTAAATCAATAAAACCATTTTAAAAGTGAATAGGCTGGAGTAAAAACAGCTACATTAGTCTCATAAGAGGAACAGGGATGAAATTCAGTTCTACCTTACAGTCAGCCTGAGGTAGCTGTGAGCAGACTCCATTACGTTTATTCTACTATACTTTAGTCTCTTCTAGTGTTGAGATCTTAAATAATTTCTTTTCATATAACACTGCTGAATAAAATCCCAGACAAACAAAACAAACACTGAATAACTGAGATTTATTTCTGTGTATCAAATGGCAGTGTTGCTGAGGAGTCAGCTGCTTGGTCAACAACAGGTCCATGAAATCTTTACAGACTTTGGGGTTTATTTGCTGTAATTTGCCAGTTTAAATTGAAACAGAGAAATAGTGATAAGTTGAGTAGCACAGTCAAATAGCTAAATGATAATTAAGGCAAGTAGATCAAAGCAGTATATTAATGTTACTTAACTCCAGTTTGTCTCCCTGAATTACTTTTTATGATTAGAAAAAAAAAAAAGGAGATTCTTTCAAAGGAGTCTTCAGTGCACACAGGTAAAGCACCATTTCTGAATGTAGTTCTCCAGAGAATTTTGTTGGTTGTGAAGAGGTGGAATTTTTAAAGATAGGGACATTACAGGCCAATTTGGCCAGTCAATGCAGATGTCTAAAATGGAACGGTGTAGGTTATAGCTGAAAACGAAAGCTCTAAAGCTTGTCCTTTGTATTCAGATTTGACTGTGATAAATGTGGGATACATAGACAGTATGAATCAAATAGCCTAAATAATGAATTAAACTTAATTGGATCATCTTCTTATTCATTTATCTGAAATATTTACTTATGAACAAGTTAGTTCATGTGAATTATGTGTATAGTAATCTAAATATCAGCCTAGAGAAACTTCTATGATTAGCTTTAAAATGCTGAAAATAGTAATGAAGAAAATAAGTAACCAGTGATGTACATATAATACAAAACATATTGCTCATGATAGAGGATTTTTGTCTAAGTGAAAACAAAATCTGCCAAGAAAATAAATATTTGTGTGATATATTGCAGCCTGATGGGAGATATTAAATGACATATCTAGTAACAATTTTAATTTGAAAGTACTTATTTCTATCAAAATGAAATACATGCTGTCTGGGGGGATGAAACCAAATGTGCTTTAGATCGCCTAACAGGCAATTACTGCACATTGCTAAACTGTGTAGCTTAATGCAATCTTATGTTAACCAGTGTAGTTCAGTTTTGACATTTTATATTGCACTTCAATGGTAACCTTCAGGGTATGTGAATTAAGGGGAAGTGCTTTAATTTGGAACCAGCAACCAAACTTGGGGTATCTCTATATATGTGGGTGGCCTGTGATTTCACTCTCAGCTTTCTGTTCCTGCAAGCTGTAGGTTGCCATCTCTGTTGTCACTGTAGAGGAATTGATTCCAGTTGGCTGCTACAAGTGTTTGCTTTTGTCTTGCATCACATGATGACTGTGATGCTCTTAATGGAATCTCTAGAACATCTTGCCATCTGCTGCACAGTACTGCATGTTTGCTGGTTTTTCCAAATTTGAGCATTGCCTAATTAAGACCATGGAAAAAATTAAACAAAAGTTTAGGGGAGAAAAAGTAATGGGACAGCTGAAAAGAATCACTGGCATTCCAATATACTCTTGAAATAAACACAAGCTGTGTTCCATGGTTAAACTTGCACTGTACTTGTCTTGAGCCTCAGTTTTCTGTCTGCGGTATACAGCTTTTAGCCAGAGGATCCCTTCTATCTTTGCCAAAACATTTAGAGAAATAGCATTCTATCATAATGCCACTGAAAATGCAGCCTGACTTTATAGGTCAAGAAAATTAGGTGCTCAATCACAGGCAGAATAATAAAATGATTTTTTTTCAGTTCTCCCCTCCTATTTTCTTGAAAATCTGAATATTTCACAATGAAAAAGTTTCAGGAAAATTTGATCCCAAGAGCAGATTTGTTTTATTGTTTATAGCTTGAGTGATGTTTCTCTATAGGCAAAAAACAGTTGTGAACCAAGGTGAATCTGGAACTTGAGCTCTGAAGACCAGTAAGACATGTTCCTTGCAATGTGTAATCTTTGTTTAAAAGCAAAGATAGAGATCTTATTTGCTCTTTTTCTGTTTATTAGTCTTACTGTCTTTGGACTTAGAGTTCTGTATTTGTGGTGCATAAGGCTGCCTTACTTCTCAGAGCCAACCAATGCAAGTTGCCTAGGAGGTATTCACATGAGTCAAACTTGGTACCTGATGTAATCAGCTAAAACTAAGCTAGGAAGCCTCCTCAGTTTCTCCCTTAAGTCAGTGGAAATAGATTTTAAGATCCTTTTACAAGTGGTTCAGAGAAGTCTTGTGTCTGCTAGCTTCGCTTCAATGGCTGCAATTGGAGCTTAGAAAACCTGCCTGACAAATTCAGGTGCTTAAAGTTTTAATGAATGTTTCTTTTTCTTCTGTCTCATAGACACTCAGCTTGTATGTTTATGAGTCCCCAACATATATTAATATTAATATAATATTAAAAATTGACTAATACATAATTTGATAACTACTTTTTCTGAGCTTTTAAGATAACATAAAATTAATTTCTGCAGAACAGTATGCGAAGTATCAAGTTTTCTTTTCTGTGGGCACAATTTCTGGCTGAGCTATTTCACTAAATTCTAGTTGGTTATAAATCTTTATACCATTTAAGGCTCTGCTCTCCTTTTGCTCTTGCAAGTGATGCTGCATGCTAATCTCCTAGCACAGAATATGAATATTGCTATTGCCGATTATTAATGTACTCACTGTTCTATTCCATTGCTTAAAAAAATGTTGAAAACATTATAAAGACAAAACCTACAGATACAAGCAGCATGTACTGTGGTGCTGCTAGTCTTTGAAGTACTCACACTGCTTTGTGTTTGTACCCCAAAAAGTTTAGATGTTCTGTCTTGGTTTTATATCATCAAAATCAACTGAAGGTTGGCTTTTATACTGACACAAAATTCAGGTGGGCCATTTCGGTTCCTTTATTCATCTGGTTTGTTTTATTTAAAAATAATGAAAAATCTGTATAATAACACCACTTGTGGAACAAGTAGTTTCATTGCTGTTGCTACAGCTCTTAACTGGAATGAAAACAACACCAATAATTAAGTGGTTCCCTTTTTTGGACTTCAATCACCATTGATTTTAAAAAGTATTTTGAAAAAGTTGTTATATATGTAAGGGTTCAACTTTTTATTGAAAATTCCTGTAGATAAACGTAGGTTTTCTAAAAAAAAAACCCACACCAACAAACCCCCAAACAAACAAACCCAACCCCTTTCCATTATATTAATCTATTATGGAGAAATGTTTAAGAACACTATCTGTTTAATACATACTCATTAGCATATAAAGATTTTTATTCACCTGCCACTTCAGCCTGTCTTTCTTGAGCTTTTGCTCTTGATTTCTCTGACTTTGAGCTTGAGAGCAAAAGACTATTCCAAGGAAACAAGTGACAGTGATTCAAAAAACTGTCTAATCTCTGTCAAGAGGAAAAAAGGAAGAGGAATATAGGAAAAATGGGGAGGAAATACCCAAGAAAGAGGAAAAAAGATGACTCTTGAAAGCAGGGTTTGTAAAGAAACTAAGATAGTCTGAGCCTTGTTATTTGATTTGAAAATGAGGTATGTTTAAGATAAGGTTTAGTTCTTGGATTTGAGATTTCAGAATGCCGAGGGTCATGCAAAGATTAGCTATAATTTGCAACTTGTGAAATTATAGCCTAAAATATCAGTAACTTTGTGGACTGAGAAAACTGAATCTGTAATGGAAACTGGACTTAAAGTTTCACTCCACGTTACACATCCTTTTTCATATAAAATGTTTTTTATAATGATACCTTCTGTTCCTTTTAAAAATACGCTTGGACCATTTCTGTGTAATGGCTATTTTTTATTGGTACGTACAATAAAACTGTAATTAGACCTGGGAGATCAAACAACCCTTTAAAAACCACACACAAAAGCCCCAACAAAGGAGATTACAGATTTTGTTTTAAATTCTTGTCTTTTTTTCAGTTAATACTCCAGATGATCAGATACAGCTTTATTGTAAAGGGGCAGATACAGCTGTAGTTCAACAACTTCATCTGGCCAATGGAGCATTCATGTCTTTTGGCATTTAAATGTCTTGGTGCAAGTATTTCTACTTGAGATATTAACTCAGGAGCTCCTTTTAATAGTCAACGTATTCAACTTAAATTAGAGGCTTAAAAATGTGTGGTTTGAATATTCTTGGTGTAAATAAAAACATAAATTCCTTAATTGGGAATCGCATGTTTTCTTGCTGTGAAGTTAGGTTAATGTTCTAAGTATTGTGTTCCCAGATCTGATTAAAGAACTATACCTACTTAAATAGTATGAGTTCTCAGGTTTTATGCTAGTCTTTTAAACACTAAGAATATTTCCATTGTTCAAGTAATCCCTATCTCAGAACTTCTAGCTTTAAATCAGTGCAAGTGTATGAATGTGAATACAAATTACCCAGTTACTTTAAAAAGTATGTGCTCTCTGCGTGATTTCAGGGGTCTCCTCTAAGGTGAACTTAAAGGAAAATTGAGTAAAATTCTCCTTGTTTTCTCAAAGGATTCATGTTCTCTGTAAGTGTCCATGCGTAATACAAACCATTCGATGATTTTTAAAATGTCTGTGACATTACTAAACCATCATAACATATACTTAATATGGGTTACAAATGTAACTATTGTTTTCCTCTCTGTAATAGAGCTTTCTTGGTTTTCTCTTAATCTTTTCCAGAAGGCCAACATGTTTTATATGAAAGCAAATCTGGAATCATAAGCATCTGATCTCTTTTACAGTTCCTTAGATGCTAAAACCTTGAGTTTCCATACTTTGTAAGGTTAAGAGGGGGCTGTATGTGTGTGTGGCCAGGGTACAGTTGCCATCTAGATAAGGGAACAACAGAGTGGTGTGGCTGAAACAACAGTGTGATATAAAGCACGCGCACACTGCATTAGATGGTGATGGCTGTCAAGACTTGTCCCTTTAACCTCTGTCCACTTGCACTGATGTCTGTCAGTCTTCTTTTCCTTTCTCTGTCTCTTCAGCTCTCCCTTTCTCCCACTTTTTCCCCCTACACTCCTACAAATGTTTTCCAAACAGGTATGGTTTTCTCTCAATAGTTCCTGTATTCAGTTAAAAACTTCTCTTGCATTGCAGTTCATCAATTTTGATGTTTAATGTTCTTTTTTTTCCCTTGTAGTATCTTATACCAGAATATAGGGAATGATCAAGCTACATTGTTGTTGGTAAACCATATAACAGCTTGTTTTGTTGACATGTGTTTTAGGTGAAAACCATTTCCTGACATATTCTTGTGCTTTAACAATAGAACTGTTAATGATCTTTGCACTTCAAAGGCATTTACAGACATTTTAAGTTATAAATACTGCAGTGTACTTTGCTTAATAAGAATATCTTGTGCAGAAGAGTACAGTAAAAGTACAGGTTTTGAATTCCCATCCCATGCATAGTAATATTGATATTTAAGAAATAACTTACCAGTGAACTTTTGAGTCCAGTGGAAAGTCTTAAGACTTTCCCCAGTTCACTTCCAATGAGCATGGGTCTTTAGAATATCTATGTGAAGGATGAAAATAATAATCAGATTTGTTTCTTAATATATTTGGAAGTTTTGCAATTTGACATTAAAGTATATGTCTGTGTGTACTAGCAACATTTACCTAATTATATCCTTATTTTTCTAAGTGTTAACTAACGCTCAAAATGGTCTTCTTGAAAGGAAAACATAATTCACTTGGCTGTGAAGCAGTAATGTGGAATTGTTTTAATTGCAGGTTGTTCTGTTTCTGTCAAACATGTAATACAATTTCTTGCATTTCTAATACTTATGAATTTGGGCATCAGACTTATTTTGATGGCTTGATGATATCTATATTGGGGTTTATCCTTTTCACTTACGTTCTAGTACCAGTTTCCTGGCTTTTTACAAGGATTATATAGTGATGACAAGGGGGAATGGCTTTAAAGTGAAAGAGGGTAGATATTAAGAAAGAAGTCTTCACTATGAGGGTTGTGAGACACAGGAACAGGTTGCCCAGAGGAGTTCTGGATGCCCCACCCCTGCAGTGTTGAATGCCAGGCTAGGGCTTTGGGTGGCAATTTCTTCTAGTGGAAGGTGTCCCTGCACATGGCAGGGGGCTGGAACTGGAGCTTTAAGGTCCCTTCCCACCCAAACCATTCTGGGGGCTTCTGTCCTGGGAGCTTCTAGGATTGCAGTCTTTTTCTCTATATAGTATAGAGACCTGAATGCTAGTGATGTATTTTACTTTGCCAAGTAACATGATGCAGTTTAGTAAATGATATATAGGAAAATTTAAAATTATTAGTTGTCAATGCTACCATCAGATATTTTAATCCACTTGAAGTGTACCACTTCTCTAAAGTTATGTCTCAACATACAAGTGAGCCTAACTTGCATTTCATTCCCCTTTGAAATTAACAACTTTCAAATAAAAATTGGGGGGGGGGGGGAAACAAGCAGTAAAGATTCATCTGCACTAAATTTAAGAGCTGAATTAAGAAACCCAGATTTCATCCTACTTATTTCAGAGGAATAATTTAGGCAGCTTTTATTACTGAAACTTAAAATGTTTAGAATAATTGAGGAGGGAGAGACTTTCTGGTGAATGGACAAATGACTTCTGACTTGGGTCTTACTTGTTCACTTCCCTACCTCATTCACTGTGAAGCTTTTAGTAACGTCTGTAGTAATTTCCACTCTTAGAGTTGCCACAAAGACTGTTTTATTCACTGTAAGATCCATTTCATATTTGTTATTGGTGAATGTACATCTTCCTTGGATGTGAAATCACTAAAGTTCTACTACAATATTCTCTTATTCAAGACTATAGATATATGTGAACATTTTTAAAAGTAGCTTCTTCCTTTAGCTAATAACTTTCATGCCACGTTTGTGTATCAAGGCATGCCTAACTTTTCACCTTCATACACAGAGGTCAGTTTGTTTTCCTTTTAGCACCTTCTCGCTACCTTTGCAGTGATTTTGAAGTGGGATGCGCTTGCTACCTTTAGTCACACATTCATCCAGCAGGTGTCCTTCAAAGAGCAGAAGTTGGCCTCTCCGTGGGCAGCACTTAACCCCCTTCCTGGGCTTCAGTGCATGGTAGTCAGATTGCTGTCTTGTTTACCATATGGCATCGTTGTGCCTTGCAAATACACGCTAAATACTGTTTTTCAATGAAAAGTTTAAAGGTTTCCTGCAAAAACCTGTATACAGTGGGGAAAGAAAAAGCTAGCCTCTGCTCATCAACATTTGTTTTAGGGTTCCTTGACTTGCTGCTACTATCATTACTGCTGGCCCTGTTGACTGCTGCTATTACTGTTGATACTGCCTACTTTTGTACAAGCTTATTCTTTGAAGTGTTGACTAAGCAACCTTTTGAGAAATACACATAAAGTTTTGGAGTAAAGTATCAAGACATGATCTATGAAGTTTGGATCTACATTGTGTTGTGGCTGGTTTTAGAATTTGGATATGCTGAGACTAGTTTCCTCTAAGTTATAAAATTTAAGAATAAGCTGAGTAATTTCTAAAATAAAATGATAGCTGTAACAATACATTAATTATTCCAATACTAAAAGGCAAAGAAGAGAAAATAAGATATCAATTTACTTTATTAAAGATCTCTCTCTGTGAGATGTATCAGCAGTCTCACATGGGCCCTACTGCTATAATAGTCTAGAACTAATCATTTATGGAGTAGGTCAGCTAGCAGGTACTGTGACAAAAATTCTTAAGTGTTATGCCATAGGAGTAAGACACTTAGAAAAAAACTTAGCATATGCATAGGGGGTATTTTATATCTGTAATAGTGTCCCATCCAAGGAGAGCTTCTAAATTCTAATTTGCAGCTGCGTCAGCATGGATTTTTAGAACCCCTCAACCAGTAAGTCTTTCCTTGCTGTTGAGTGAATGAAAATTTCCTTTGGGGAAAAAGGAATCCAGTAGTGTCAGAAGGATGACAAATAAGCTCATGTAGCTCAGCGCTTGTTCTGTTGTCCTTATTTCAACTTATATTGTTTTCCTTTGATATTCCATTTCTACTTGGAGCATTACACTATATTCATACAACAAACATCCTGGCAAGGAGATTAACATTCAGTTCTAATAAATTTCTACTGAATATTATCTCAGCTCCAACTGAAACTTACATGAAACATTTACAAAGCAAAAACAATGAAGAGATTCCAAGCAAAAATACTAAAATAAAAACTAAATTCAAAGTTAAAGGCGAGTCAGATGTGTGGACAGGCTCTCTGGTGACACTTCGAAGTCATTGTCAGGTGGCCACATTCCTTTATTAACCTCTTTTCTATTTTTTCCTTTAAACAAAGCAGAATACCTATAAGAGCTTTATGATTCTCAGCTACTCCGTAGGACGAAGTGCAAAAGTCCAACCAGGTCTTAGTTTGGGACAAGTGTGTCACTGGTAGTTAATTAACCCCTTAGTAGTTAATGGTTATGGCCTGTTAAGTATGTTTATTATGCTTTGCCCTTTCATTCCCACTCCAATTATATGTGTTCTGTTCCAGGAAATTCAGGTTTAGAGCTTTTGGAAAACAATTAGTATTCTGCATGGCTTTCCAAAATAAATTTTACAAAAGGGGGTCTTGTAGTCAATGTTTCACACAATCTTATCCATCCTTAATTAAAATATCCTACTGCTGCTATCAAGTGCTTGTGTGGGAGTAGCAGCAGCACAGGACAAATGCCAATTAACCAAAATACAAGTAGGCAGATGTAGTGCAACTGTTTTTTCCCCATTTCGCCTAAAAGCACAACTTGAGCTTAAAATAATTACGGCATCAAATTAATGTCATTAAGTTACCTCCAGTGGATTGCTTAAGTATCAGCCTTTTATAGGAATTCCAGAACAATTTGCTTTGATTAGAGAATCTGGTTCCTGTCATAGGGAAAGCTGTGTTCCTTTCATGTACTTCAGTCTTGAACTCTTGGACAGAAATTGAAGGTTTCTTATTTACCAATTTAATAGCGTTTCAAGCTTGCTTCATGCAGCTATAGCTGCATTAGAAGGTAGTTAGCAGTTCTAGTCTCCACCCGTTTGTCTCGCTGTGTGAGTCTGCAATATATGCTTTGATCTTATTTCACTGCCATATCCTGTGACTTGCAGCGCTCCAAAACTTCTGAGATCCCTACTTCTTCCTTTTAGAAGATTTTCTTTTCATATTTTAATGTCACAATTTTAACAGTAAGTTAAATGCTGTGAGATATATATATATAGATAGATATATATATATATATATATATATTCAGATGCTACAGAATTTGTGTTCCTGGCCTCATTCCATATGTGGCTAGCTGCAGTATTAAATGTAAACCCAAAAGAAAACCTTCTTAGGGTATGGCTGAACATTATGCAATGATAATTGCAAAAGTTAACAACAGACGTTCTTCCAAGTAATGAACCAGAGAAATGCACATTCCTGTTGAGATGATAGTTCAATTTAGTAAGTCTTTTTGTTTACTCCCTAATCCTCACAGTGTCGGCTGGAAAGCTGAATGTTTTTCTCAAGTAGCCAGTTTAGTGAGTTGTTTTCTTTTTAGCATTTTATAGGTAAAAGTGAAATCAAACCATTAGGCAAGAAAATGTGTTTTATAATTGTGTGTTTTGAGATAGTATATGCTATATAGGTATATATACACATAAGAGGACGATTTATGATGATGAATAGGAATGAGGTTTTCTGCTAAATGCTTCAGTTGCTTAAAATTTCTTTGACTTTGCTGCAAAAGAAGATACCCAACTTAAGTGCAAGGAATGACCAACATCATGTTGCCCTAAAATAGTTACAAAACCAGCTGACTTACCAGAAGTTTTTAGGCTCTTGCTATTGAGGCTGATTTGGAGAATATTCTTGGAACTTGTCTGTATGTGTAAAACTGTGACTTGCTGTTGAGTCACTTTACAAAAAACGTGAGTTTCAGAGCTGATTAGGAAACACAGGAAGGCAGTCACGTTGGCAGTAGGAGCTGGAGCTAATGACATCAGCATGATCAAAAGTAAGGGGAAATTTAGTTTGAAATGTAAATAAAAATGATGGCTTATTAATGAATTTGTGTTTATAGCGGGCCCATTACTTAGACCTTTTTTATTTGAAGAATTGCTTTTCCTTTTATGGAAAAAATAACTCAGATCAACCCTTATGCCATTATTTGGTAATCAAAAGTAACTATGATAAATAAATTGGCTTGTGTGGGGTGAACGTCAACTGAGTAAGCCTAAAGATCCGTCTAATCCAGGGTCCTATCTTTAACAGTGACCAAGAGCAGACATTCAGGAAAAAACCAAAAGAACAGGGTAATCATTCAAAGCTGCTTGTGCAGCTTCCTTCACTCCTTGTGTCAGCAAGATGTATGTTCTTTGTGTTTACTCATTCTTGATGGTTTTTGTCTTGTAACTTTGGTCACCTTTCAAATATGTGGGAAATTATAGTTCCACAATACCCTCCAAATGGTTATTATTTTCCTAAAATGTGAGGCTACTGTTACAAATATTTACATCAAACATAAGTAATAGAGTATGACTGAAGAACAAGTTGGCTGTGTTTCTCAAACAGGGTACCCTATAGCTGTTACTACTAACTTGTTTGTTGTGTTTTGTGGGTTTTTTTTGTGTGTGTTTTTTGTTTGTTTGTTTGGGTTCTTTGTTTTTTACTTTCTTTGGTTTTTGTTTTTGCCTTTTTAATGACCCATTGGTTAGGTGTAGAATACAGTCCATGTAGTAACTGAGAGTATGAATAGAATTCTCGTTCTCTGCCTGCCATCATGGACATCCTTTTCATTCAAGGCCTGTACTCAGTACCACATTGGATACTCTTAGCTGCCAGTCTGAAAGCTCACCTTTTGTCCTGCTTTAAGAGTTTTTGAGTAACAGATGCTGCATCTTCTGCTGTTAGCTGAGCTATTTCTTTCATTGCCTAATTTTGGTTGTAGCTGGGTCTTTGGAATAAAACTTATCCAAGTCTGTTGCACAGAAATGTTAAGTTGCCCACCCTGAGCTGAACCTCCAAATGCTGGATCTGATATAACTCCCACTGTACTACTGCTCAGAGGCATCAGGAGCTTGAGAACTCAGTGGAGGATATCCATATTTGGGTCACATTTAATTGCATGCGGGCATCTCAGAATTAATGTTTTGAGAAAGTACGAAACTATTGTATTAAACATCATGCTTTGATAGCCTGTAAAATTTCCGAACTGATTGATGTTCCTATTGAGAATGCAGCATGGCAGTATCAGAACATCAGACAGTATTAAGCAAATGAAATGTTTAATACTGAAGTTAATATAGGTAACTGCTCTGTTTAGTTTACTGTCAGATACTTGGAAGTTCCTTTTTATGGTGTGATAGCTATGTGATAGCACAGTAAATACATAACTTTCTAATTAATTGATGGGCAGTCTTAAAATGGTACAAGTTGAATTCATGATGAATAATGGCCTGGGTCGCTTGCTTAGATTGTTTAATCTTGCTGATATTAGCCTTGCACTGTAAATTTGTCAGAACTTCAAATTCCCACAATATACTGTTGAAGCAGGAAAAATAGCAGAATAGGATGACACAAAATGTTCACTAAATGGGTTGTTCTGTAACAGGTTTATTTTAAGTTTTGCTGTTGTTATCTAAACCTGTAAAAGGTTATAGTTAGTATAGAGTTAAGTTGCCTTTGTTCATCTGTTTTTGGTGTGAGGAGTTGAGAAGTGGTCTTCCAGAAGCAACAATGAATAGGAGAAAGATTAAAGGGGACATGAAAGAAGAAAGAAGAGAAACAGTGAATTACATAAAAATAATCATAACAAAATTAATTTGCACAGGTTGCTGCTGTTGCTTCTGGGATTGGAGGGACTGTATGAGTGAGCACTGAAAGCAAGTGTTCATGTGAGACCATTTGTTTTTTGATGAACACTTTTGGCTCCTATTTCAAATTTCCTGTAGTCTAGGATAATGTTTTCCGTTGTCAGTAATTATATCTATTGTCTGAAACTGTCTATGTGGTAGCTTAATAAGCTGACATCTGTTTTTCAGCTATTCAGTGGAAGTAAGTTTCCTCTGTCTTTTTTTACAGGTGCACACATAGGAGTTGGCATCAGTGGCCAGGAAGAAATGGAAGCTGTTTTGGCCAGGGACTGTTTGCCCACTTCAGACACCTCCAGAGGCTCTCGCAGATTGATGGCAGTCTTTCTTGTTTGAGAATGTGTAAGTTCTTGTGTTATTTCTTCTATAAAAACTTTGCATTCATACTGCTGCATTTCAGGTTTGTCTTCTGTGGCTTCTTTACTCAGGTCTGTTTCTATTTTATATGTTTGTAAATGAACAAAGCAGTGACTTGTACTCTAGATACCTGAAAGTAGAAGTATTGAAAGTCAGAAGAATGAATTAGGCAATCTAAATATTTGAATGCAATTGTTTGGGAGTTAGAATGAAATAATTATGGTTTCTTTTTCTGTTTTGAAAACATGAATGTGTACCAGTTGCTACACTTAATGATGCCCTTCATTTTCCAAGGTGAAGGCATACCATTTTTATATGGTAGACACTTCTACCTTAGAAGGAAGAGAGAAGCCATATGTTTTGCTTTAAGGGTATGGTAAATCCCAGAGTTTGTCTGTGTGGTTGTAAGGAGTGTGTAGATAGCCATGATGAAACAACCGCCCTTAACTAGACTGCATCCACTACATCTGCAATAGATGTCTAGTAAGCAATTTTACTAAGGTGAAGAGCTGTCTTGGAATTTCATGCTTTTTTTAGACACAACACAGATCTCTTGCCTGTTTTTTTTTTTTTCTTTCCTACTGCTGTAAAAGCATTTTTCTTCACAAAAGATTAAGTTGGTGATCTAAAAAATATTGAATGAGACAAAGAGTGGAGGCCTTGCAAGCTGAACATCATGGTTTAAAAATTAGTAATATGTTGGACTGAGATAGCTTTATGAGAGGCTGTATATGGAGATGTTTAATCAGAGTCCTAAACATCTCCTGAACATTTGAAACATGTTTTAAGAGAATGAAGACTTAACCTGTTTCCAGATTTCTTCACATAGTGACATTATATATGCAAAAAAAAAAAAAGTTTTAAATCAATATTTACTAAATTAAGAAAACAACCTACTTTTTCAATTTGTATGTATGTTAGTTTCAACAGACTAAGAAAACAGGGTGTTTGATCTCTCTTGTAACTTCTTTGTTGCTCAGAATCTTCCACTCTCTGTTTAAGCTTTTACTCGACCTTGAAAATACAAGTCAGAACAATGACTTTCTTGACTTGTCAGAAGCATTTTCTTGAGTGTCCAAAAGCAAACATCTAAAGAGTATAAAACTGGGACAAACACATAATGTTACTTTCTCATGTTAATTTTTTTGCTTCCAAGAATCGGAAGCTGAAGGACTTTCTGAACCAAAGGTAGTGCTTTGTTTACCAAGTGTAGCGGCTTTTGTTTTCAAGCATTTACTACTTATAGCATAATGTTCTACAACTTAAAAATCCTTTCCCAGTTGTACTTGCTGTCTACTTTAATGCCCCTTAGCTCTTGTCACTGAATTCATGATGATTTTATAGTGGTCTTTTCTCTATACTCACTTCTTTTCCTGCTGAAATGTCCTAGCGTACTTATTTAGTGTCTGATAAATAAAATAGTGTTTGGAACATCCTCCTCTGAGACACTGAAAAGTAATTAGGGAATGAGTAGGTAGCTTTGGTTATTAAGGTGAGCTCATCTAGCAGGTAGGAAGAATAACCATGTTTTCCCTGTATCATGGAAGCATAGTTTTGAGGGTTTTTTTCTGTCCATTTGTAACTCCTGAATTCACATAGAGGAACTGGGGAAAAATTCTGAACTGGAGCTGTGATGTGTATTCCAAAAGCTATACAGAGGTAGATTTAGAAGAGGAAACCACTCCTAATGCTACTGGCATGGTTCCAGAAAAGAGAGAATCAAGGATTGTGTGAAAGCATGAATAATTATGAAAATATGTTAATGTTCTGAGCCTGAGGAAATAACCTTTCTATGTCTGTAGAAGGGGATGTTTTTTAACAATTGCAGCAATTAAACATTTCATTACAATTTCTAGAATCACACAGTACTGCAAAGCTGTAGGTGAACGCAAGAACAACCAGTATGCTTCACATAAGTTGGTTTTTTTTTTTTGCTGTTTCAGCTCACCTTTGTAAAGATGGTTCACACATTCTTATTCTTTGTGTGTGTGTTTTGAGGGTTTTTTTGTTTGTTTTTGTTTTGTTTGGGTTTTTTTTGGTGTGTTTTTCTCAGAAGGGTTTAAAAAAAAAAGGCAACCCCTATCCCCCCTTAAATTTTGTGTCTGGGGCTTTTTTCCAGTTTGATTCAAATTTGAAGTTTGATTCAAATTTGATTCAAATTTGAAGAGATTTTCAGACTTGTTTGGGCTACCTGCCTTTTTTTTTTATGATTTTTTCGTATTCTTATTAAAGAGCTGTGCTTGCTGAGATAGGGAAAAAGACTTAACTGTTTGCTGAAAATGAAAGCTTTGAATTTAGGCTAAAGATACAGATTCAGATGTAGACTTTAGAAGTGCTATGGGTATTTTGCTACATGCTTATTTAGAAAATGGAAGTATGTAGAGTAAAACTAAAGCAAATGTTTAGCATATAATCAAGTTAACTGCCAGTACACTAAAAATTCTTCAGCCTAGTTACAAAAAAATCTAGCACTCAAGCTTTTGTACTCAAGAGGCTGGCAGATACGTGACATGCTCAGGTAATTGCTACTTTGCACTACTTGATTACCGTTGGTCTGTGAATTTGTGCTTCATTCTGATGCAACCCAAATTTCCTGGTAGGTGGGCTGTTGTTCACATGACATTTTCTGAAATATAATCCAGTGATGTGAGCATCTGGAAGTTGTTCTTTTGTCTGGCTGAGTGATACTAAATACCGATCGTGGGGTAACTGAGGCTAATAGTGCAGTAGTGTCACTTGTCTAACATTCAATGATAGAATGTTCCTTTTGCCTTTATTTTCTTTTCCTGATCTCATTTCAAATGTGATTATTTCCTGCTTTAGGAGTATGTAGTATAAATTCTCCTATATAATAAACTCCTTTAATACGTCTTTATTAATTAGTAGGAATAACTTGTATAGTAAGCATAAAATCTCCTTGTATGACTATTACAGGAATAGTGCAGTGCAATATTCCTTCTTATGCTCTGATATGCCTGTTTCAAAAAACAAGCCTGACTGTAGCCTTTGTAAAGAATCAAGTAAAAGAAGGCATTAATCACAAAACTTTTTAGCTTGGCTTGTGAGGAGATCTGTATCAGCTTTCATGCATTACATGAACAGACACTAGGGTAAGTTTCCAGAATTGCTACAAAGTGCAGACTCTGACTTTGAAAAAGTGTTGCAAATTAAAACATTTCTGGACTTCCAGTCCATGACAGCCTGCTGTGTATGTTTGTATATTTTAAGTATTTGAGGCCAGCAGATATGTTGCTACATCAGCTTTGGGGACTTGGGGAATTAGTTTTATGTCTTTGATTCAGACTGTTTCATATCACACAGCTAGCCTAAGCTAGGACTCATTTTGGAGACTTACAGATAATTGTGCCAGACAAGGCTCCTCAATATCCAATGAAGTGAGAGAGAGGCCTCCCTGAATGACTACTTAAATGGGGTTGCTGAATACACTGAGAATTTTGTGAGCTGTATTGGTAGGGAGTGATTGTAGCTTCAGATTTCTCTGAAGGTCTGGGCAAAAGGTGAAATTGCTGGTTGTTGAGGATCTTCTTTTACACTTAATTCAGCTGTGGCCTTTTTTGCTCTAGTGGATCCAGGTATTCTTCTTGCTTCATTGCTTAAGATGTAGCCAGTTTGTCCAGTGGTTGTTAAGAGGATGATTTGAATGGAAGGTGGCAGTACCACCTACTTGAACCCTGAGAAGCAACACAGCTCCATGGATAGCAACACTTTTACTAATCTTCTCTTTTGACACTGTCACTCCCAGATCGTATGTATACTTAAAGCCTTTTCTTATGCAGAGGAATGCTTAATGAATATTTTATTTCTCTTAATTATTCCATTTTATGTTATCAGTATTCTAAGATGATAAACCACTGAATCCTTGGATATCTTTTATTGCCTGTTATGAAAATTCATATACTCTGTTGTCTTCTCTTATTCCAAGAAACTACCACTGGAAATCTTTAAAATGGTTTTGTTGGTACTATTTTTTTGCATTAGCTATCATCCTTTCCAGTGTATCACCCTCTTCAGTATCATCTATACTTTGGTGCCTGTACTGGATATGGAGTTATTTGACCAGGTAGAGTTCTACTGAATGTTTAAAACACAAATAGTAATTTGACAATAGCAACACTATGACAAGTGTTACAGTTGTCCCAGCATCAGGTGACAGCCTTTGAAGAGTCTACTTAAGAACTGTGATTTTTGATCACTTTGACTGTACATGCCATAGCTTAATCAATGAATTACTTAGGAGCTGGGGATTTATGAATAATTTTTTTGCTGACAATATAACTGTCTTGCCCTATCCTTCCTATCCTGAGGATGTGAAGAGTGCATATAGTACAGAAATTCCTGGAAATTTTTTTTGGGGCAGAATAATATGTAGGAGACATAGAAGGGGAAAGAGAACCCTATCTGCTAGTGCTAAACACAATCAAGAGCAAATAAGAGTTAAGGGTATTTTCTCTTTGTTTATAATTATAGACATACACTAATAACATCAAGCTCAATAAGATCTGCTTGTGCTTTTTCTTATCAAGAGGGCTATGGGAAACACAACATCTGGAAGGAATATGTACATCAGTAACTTACATTTGTCAGTGAATTGATAATTTACTTAAGGGAACAACAGGCAATAATTTTAGTAGTGACAGAAATCTGAAACTTTGAGTCTAGCAAGGAAAACATGTTTTCTTTCAACTACATATTTCCTGAATTTATTGCTGTATCTTCATATGTTTTGCTATTTTTGACTGCACTGTGCTCAACATTACTGTTTGCAAAAGACTAGCATCAGGTGATTAACAATCTGCATTTTGGGGGCAATATGCAGTAGTACTGTGAACAGGAAGGTTATTCCAGAGGCTATTCCAGTTTAAAGTTTTCATCAAAATTAGTACTATCAGGAAAGAATTCAAGTATTTGTTTAGTTTTTTGTTAAATTATGCGTTTGCTTATTAATTGCCTACTTGCACTTTTAGAATAGCTTTCCAAAACAAATTAATTATTTTGAGCAAAGCAGCTGCTCAGGATTAATGCTATGTCAAAATTTCAGGATCCAGGAAGCGGACAGATGAGTAAAGCTCAACCTCAAATGTCAAACGAGCTTTTTGTTTTTACAACAGGAATCTTTCACAAGTGACTGAAACGGCTCTGTTGGGTTAGGTAAGAAGAAAATCAAGGACTTGAATATTATACCACTTCGCCAGTAGCTTCTTTCTAAAAAGGTAACTATCTTATTGTAATGACAGATAGACATGAACTGAATAGGAACTAGTTGCAATTTATTACAATAGCAAGAATTGATCATTATCTGCATTATATGCGGAGCACCTTTTTCTAACACTTAATCTGGCTCTTTTAGAGTCAGTTTAATTTTCTTATCGAGGCTGCCATATGCAAGAGACATGCAGGCAATCCATTTGACAGCAAAGTAACAGATCTAATGTATCTGTACTGAGGTTTTGTTACTGCCTGTTAATGAATTATTTGAGACTTCTACATTATCCATTGATTTTTTTTTTTTAGTT